GTCTGCTCCTTGCTCCCTATAAGAAATTAATCTGCAGGATGACGTGAACCATGTATTGTTGCTAGCATTCAGGTTTTTGTCTTGGTATACAGAAATATGATTAGAAGTAAATTTTTACAATACCAAAAACATAAAGGCTTCAACAGGATTCAAATGTTGACATGTGAAGTCAGGAATTCTCTATGTTCTATTCCGTTTTATGGAGGGGATACATGGACTGGAAATGGAAATTAGGAGTCTGGATAAATATGTATTGAATCCAGAATAATGGGATGTGTAAATGTGGCACCCGAGAGGTGCGATCATCTAACAAAAACCCACAAAACAAAACAGACTGTGGCGATTGTGAGCAGAGCTTTAAAAATTTTTAGTTTAAAAGTTCAACAAATAATTTAAAAACAGAGTGCACTAAAAAAATAAGTAAAAGGAAAAAAAAAGAGATAAAAATGCAGGTGATAAAGAGCAGAATCAATGGGTCAATGGCGCGGTCCATTAAAAGATGCGCCCTTGGCGGGCATGATGGAGGGCACGGTCCACCCCAGCGTTGGGTCCTCCTTCCGGCACGCTGCGCGTGTGGGCCTCCTCAGCGTAGCTGGCCTTAGTGAGGTCACCTCCAACACGCCGGTGCACCCCTCACTCCGGTGCGCGCCTCTTTGCCTCTCTCCGGTGCGCGCCTCTCTCCAGTGCGCGCTGCGGCAACCAGTCTTTAAAACCTGCGCTGCTTCCTGCTCACCCGCTCTGTCCGGCTCCCTCCATGATCGGTGCTTCGGCTTCCCATGTCTGGTGTTTTTGCCCTCCAACGAAACAGCTGCCTTTTTATCACCAACACCACTGTCTCTATGCTGCTCAGCTGATGGAGAACACCTGTGCTGTGGGTGTGAGTGGTAATGTGACCCCCAAACAAAATCGGAAAACACATGCAACACACAAAAATGACACTAACAAGTAAGTTCAAAAATAAAGAAAACCCAAAATTAGAAAATGACATGCAATCAACTCGACAAAAAAGGCCACATTACCACATAAACATGTGAATATGAAAATCTTTCAGCCTGCTATGCTTGGAAAAAAAGGGAGGTGGATGTGGCTGGATGCCATTTGATTGCATATGTTTGAATAAACTGGGGTTCTTGGGTAGAGAACGTTTAATTCCCCCTAATGCCCATTCCAATCAATTTAAATCATAGTCATGCCTGCCAACAAGTGCTGACAGAATTTCACAGGTCAAATGCACTTACATTTCAGCGCGTATTTTTCAACTTGCGTTGAAGAAGCTGTTCCAACATGAAACAAAACCGTTAGATTACAGAATATGAAACATCTACAGTACTTTAGAGCACCGAATGAGAAATTTTATTATTTATTAAACATAATTCCATAGGTGTGCCACACTGCACAGATATTCGAAATTATGCTTGATTGGCAACCAAACACATTTGTACAAGGCAAATTAATCATTCAATTAACCAAACATTACCTGTGACATGGGTAACTCAATTATCATTTAAAAAAAAAAATAGGTTCAGTCATTTCAGACGAAAATATTCACAATATTTGCTTTAAATACTTGTATGATATCAAGGTGTACTTACAACTTTCGCCACTATTCGTCTCCATTTTTTGTTTTTCCTCCGAGCGTGTGTCATATTTATAGGGCTTGCTTGGTCTCGCAATGAATCCTGGGTAAACCAAGGATACCGAGGATACATCAGACCCGTCCTTCAAATCCGGCAAAAAGGAGGACGCATTTTAAGACCGCATAACGAGGACTCTTGGAATCCGACCAGACCTCGGCGATGACGTAATCGCCCTTTGAATCTGGCCTAAGGACACGTCCTAGGTTTTCGAACGGAGTTGTAGACTCCAATCTGTGTGTTGGTCTTCCATGGTTTGTTTGAGTCGTTGGAGGGCGGAACAGGGTTTACCCAGAACTCGGACGGAGTGGAATGATGCAGCCGCTGGTTGCAACTCAGTTTTCCTGTGGTACTTGAACGGGTCGTGGTAAAGATGACTTCCTTATTCAGAGAGTGATCTCAGTGTGCTCAAAGGTGGCTGGATCCAAACCTCCTGTTTGGAATCCGTCGCTCATTGTAAGACTCAGTTGATCCCACTTGGAAGAAGGCGGTCCGAAAAGGTCCAGTTTGCAGGTAGGCTTCCTGCCGAAAGGCAAAGAACAAACAAAGTTCAGACTCAGGGAGAAAAAAGCACTCAGTAAACTCAATGTGATCTCAGCTTAGCTAGAGAACAAAAACTCAAAATGCAAAAACTCAGATTAGACTCAGCATAAACAAGGCTTGGCTAGAGTACCCCAAACTGGCAATCACTCTGGCATGGAAGTAGTGGCAACCAGCAGCTTAAGAGTAGTCCATTGATGAGGTAACAGCTGGCAGGTGTGTGAGGAGGTGAACTGGAGCCAGGCGCCTCCTGGTGGTGGAAGGGAGAAACACAAAAGACAAGACGAACAGACGAACACAAAAACTGGGATCCTGACAGGGGGTTTCAAACCTCTGCAGCTCACTATACTTACTTTTCTTTTTGCAGCCAGTAATAAAATTTGTATAAAATATCTTTGATATGCAGAACCAATTAAGCCCATCAATGTCATCTCATGTCCTGGCGTATATTGTTATAACTCTCAGATTTTATCATTTTGTTTCATTTTTATACTTTGAAGGGAAAAAAAAGCATCAATCTAAAATTCAGATTATATTGAGTGGGTAACGGAAAATTTACCTCCAAATCCTGTCTTAATTTGAGTACATTAAATATACTACCTTTCTGCAAAGCTAAAAGTTCATTAATGATTTGATATAAATTTATCAAAATAAATCTCGAATTAAATGGTATATTTGAAAGCATCATTACAGGCCTCTATAATGTTCTACTGAGATGGTAAGTCACTTCCATTGTATGACTTTCTTGAACAATATCATTTTCCTGCACTTTAAAGGAATTTTCTTTTAGCAGTAATTCCATTTTCAACCTTTCTAATTGTTACCCAGAGCCGCTCCTCCAAATGTTCACCATAATGTTTAATGGGTAACTGAACCCTTCTGAGTATAAAAACTACCAACAAACATATAAATGAGCTCATTCAGAGGAATATAAGCTGTAAGGCTGCATTTGTTTTATTTAGATTAACAAGTATCTGCATACAGACTGGAATTGCTATGATCAATACCCAGAGATATTTTTTCTAATCACTGATAAAGTAAAAGTTTCTCTAAAATGTCTTCATAATGTATTTCTGCCCAAATGTCATAATACCATTTAAATTCTCTGTTCCTGCTGTGATCAAGTAATTTTAATCTGTCATCTTTTTGGGGAATATTCTGAAAGTCACATCATCTGGTGTGATGTTAACCTCTTCCTTGTATGTATATATATATATATATATATATATATATATAGAATATAATTAGGGGTGGAACGGTTCACAAAATCCATGGTTCGGTTCACGGTTTCGTGGTCGCTGTTTTTCGGTTTGGAATATGTTGATTGTTAGCATGACATGTTGGTCGTGTTGCACAATGCTTGCACACTGTCGCACTTTTATCCACAACTTTCTTTCCGCCGTCATCATAGGTCACTCTAATGCTCTGTTCGAAAACCTAGGACGCGTCCTTAGAAGTTTAATCCATTATGCACTTACGAAATATGACTTCAAACTGCTTTAAAGTCCTGAACTCCCGCTTTCCATTCCGGCCCACAAAGTTATACTGTCTGGAAAGGTCATGGTCCATGATGAAGACCATCATATGTCTTGTGGCCTCATCCACAGTGCTCCCTCCAATGTCTGCCACTGCTGTGACCTAAGGGGAAACAAAGTCAGTACAAAGTAAATCTTTTTCTTTTTTTTTTTTTTTTTTGCTGCTTCTAATGGTTTGCTTTTATTGACTGTAAACTGACAGGAAATAGATTAATGTATAATTGTTAAGTATTTCAACAATTAATCGATTTGTTGCTATAATAATAAAATGTTGAAATACGTTGGTGCTTCTCAAATCTCTTATTCTGTCCACTAAACAAAGAGATACTCGGTTTATGGCCAACAAAGAGGACTGAAATATTCTTATTTAGGAAGCTGAAATCATAGAATTAGGACTTTTTGGCTTTAAGAAAGCTATAAGTGCCAATTAATTGAATTATTGATTACTGTTCAATTTATTGATTTTGTTTCAGCTCAGATCAGATTTACTGCCAGCCCCCCCAATAAAACTGAATGAAATTTCACTATAGACTTTACATACATACCAGTTCAGACATGAAGCTTGGGTCAGACAGTTTTTCCTCCATTACCTCGACCTCCCCAACTGTCTTTAGGGGGAAACCATCTGGGATGACAGAAAGGGTGTCACCACTGTGCCATGGTTTGTAGCATCCTTCCATGAACTCTTAGGGGTTCTTTGACTTCCTCAAGGACTTTCAGGATGTGAAAAAGGACGTTGTCCCTTATTTGCATTTGCGGGGATTTGTGTGTTGACATGGCTGACCTAAGGAAGAGTACAAGCAAAAAAGTGTCATTGTAGACCAGTTGGATAGAGGCAAAGGAGATGTCAGCACAGACACCTCAATCAGACAATTAAACAGGCCGATTGAAAAGTGCACATTCTAATCAGTTTCTTTCGCTCGCATACAACAGGTACAACAGGTGACAGTTGAGCATATAATCATATAATGCAGACAGTGTTTCCATAGACTGTCACTGTGTGTGTGGGAGATGACACCAATATGCATACATAATCCAAACAGCCTTACCTCTTTTTGCGCTTCCCCCTTCCCATGTTCTCCACAGAATCAGACTCTGTCGGGATGTCTGTGTTCTGTTCAAACTCAACCAATTTTGTACGGGCTATCTCGTATGTGGCTATCAGAGAGATGCAAAAGAAAGAGTTAATTACTTTTATTTCGGAGAACAAATTCTAACCAAATGAATGATGAGCTCATCTTGTCGCATCATATCATACATTAATTAAGAAAGATGGTTACACTACCTGCTTTTCTCTTGACAGTCAACTTGTAGGTTGCCCAGTCAGAGTGTGGGTCCTGTTGGTCTATGACCACCTTTGCAATGTTAACTCTTGCTGGTGGCCATTAGCATTCATCCTCCTCAGGCCTGATAAACCATTTGGTCGGAATCACTGCCAATCCTCCACCATTTTCAAATTAACAATTGCAAAAGGCAACATACTTAAAAAAAAAAAAAAAAAAAAAGTAAAAGTACATATCAATAAAGTACACATAAATAGAAATTCATACATGCATAACAACAAATAAAAAAACAAAAACAAATAGGTTGCACACTAGTGCAAAAGTGGCAATGCCACATATCCAGTCTTGTGTGGTAACATAACCATTTTTGTTTTTAAGTCCTCCACAGGTAGTAGCTGCAAGTGTTTAGATAAATTGAAGACAAAAAGAATTCCAACAACTGAGGAGTCCATTGGGTGGGTGAAAAACGGTTGGGCGTTTTCAAAGGAATTACACAGTACTTTAACGGTACCGGAATGTGAACATTGATGGATAGATATTTGTACAACAAAAAACATTAACTCATCAGTTTACTTTGACTACAATAACTCCACAGCTGCTTCCATATTGTTGAATAGGGTGGCGCATTGTCGCCCCTTTCCATTGGATCGCAACCCAGTCTGTTTTCCCATGGCATGTCCTTCTCATCTTGAAGTATTCTCTGAATAACAAAGAAAATTTTTTGTATAAGGGAAATTATATTAAGTAATTACACTCATATGAAAACCGGTTTTCCTCTTATATCTTCTTTAAATAACATTAATTTTATAGAACTTCAAGGAAAGATGTGGTTACTTTGCAAATTCATTTTTGAATTAAAAATTAATCTTAGATATATATTATAGCTTTATTTACTGTATTCTTTTAGCTGCCTTTTCAGAGTCCACAAGCTCAGATGACACTTGTGCAGGATCTACCAGGAATACAGTTCCGGCTTCTGTATTTATGTACTGAAACAGACAAAAAATAAAGGAAAAGTGACATAACAAAGAACAATTTTATTCAAACTAATGTATGGCCTGCTCCAACCCAACTATCAAATAAGGAAATATTTCTTATATACAAAAAAACACAAACCAGCAGCTTCCAGTGGTTGTTGTTCAACAGCACAAATGACAGAACTGCTTCATAGTTGTCAAAGTTGACCTGAAAAAGCATTAAAAATATTAAAAGATTACATGTCTGCCTATTCCTACAAACTTTAAGCAAGTCTCACATGTAGTGTTTCCCCATATGCAAGTGTTTTCTTTAACTGACAAGTTTGCTTTTCAACCAGAAGGTGTTATGAAAATTCTAATATAATTAATACACTTGTTTACAAGTGTTAAGGTGCCAAACATTATCCTCTACAGGTTTTATTGGAGGGGGTAAAGCTTGCAGCGATATGTTAGTAGGACACATACAAGGCATGAAATCTAATTATTTCACATACATTTATGTGGGCGCAACTAGGTTAGTGTCATGATTTTATTAAAGACCTGACCCAAATGCAGAAGACCAAACAGAGAGAACAGGGAAGAGTTTAACAGGTTTATTAGTATAATGAGATGAGTCCAGTGCTGCTCTGAACACTGTCAAACCGGAACTGGAAAGTGAGGGGAAGATACTGCGGTTAGTTCAGGCTCAGTGGGAAATCAGATTCTTGATTGTTTTTTTTGATGGTGGGTTGACAGGGTTTACTCAGACTGCGGTTGTTCCTTGGAGATCGGAGAAGCTGACTGCCACTTAGATTTCCTGCGGTACTTGAACAGGTTGTTGTGAAGATGAATCCTCTGCTCAGAGAGAAGCCCCACTCAATCCTTGGGGGGGAAGGTTGATCCAGACCACAAACTTGAATCCTCAACTCAGTTTGGTTCTCAGAAGATCCTTTCAAGGGAGAGAAGGTCCGAAACATCCAGTTTGCAGGATGACTTCCGCCAAACTGGCAAACACTCTTGCGTCAAGGTAGTGGCAGTCAGCAGCTTAAGAGCACTCCACAGGTAATGAGGCAACGAGCTGCAGGTGTGCAGGGAGGCCCAATGAGGACAGGGCACCACCTGGTGGAGGAGGAAAGGAAACACAAAAACACACCACACAAACTGGATTCCTGACAATTGGGATTCTTTTTGTATTTTTTTTAAATGGTTGACATGTACATTACTCGGAAATTCATTATGGAGTGTCCAGTACAGAAGTAGTTTTACATGTGGAAAAAAATATGTAATGTCGAAAGAAGTTGTCTAGCCTTTTAGCAATGCTAAGCTCTTCATTTCTCTTGAAAACCATTTGTGACATTCAGATTTCTAACTTGCATGTAAATGTCAAATTATATGAATTTTGTCAACTACTTCAATGTTTAATACAGCCAAGTATTATGTAAAAAAAACAGGGCAATACTTTCAATAAAGCCTTTTAAAAGCAACCCAGCACTTCATTCAAACCTTTTCAAAAATATAAATCTTGGTCTTTTTTGGATCAACAAACATACAGATAAAAAAAAAAAAACCATTACACATGATTTCATTTTTGAAGACATTTTGTTGTCAATTTTGTAGCTCTATGTTGCTGATGTGTAACCGTGAAAGTTATATTCATTTATCTTCTAATGACAGAATAGCAACAAAGATATGCGTTACCTTAGGCAAACTTTGGCGAGAAAGCTCTGTTCTGTTCCCAAATCACGCCAGCTGAGTAGTGATTGAGAATGTAGATGTGTCCATCACTCCCGATGCATGGGCAGACACATGAAACAGGTTTTCAATGATCTGCACAAGGGATATAACCGTTTCCATATTTTAAACATGTGTACAAAAGTCTTCCCATACATATCTGAGCATTTCTTTGTATCAACCTTGAAAATGAAGATGTGTATAAATGAGTGAAACAAACCTAAATAAGACAATCACACACGTACCTCCCCTGTCAACCACTGAATCTCTGAATGATGAATGACAATGCTCCGACCTTTAATTTGTGAAGGAACAACTGCCACAACAACTTCTGTGTCCCTCTTTTTCCAAAGCAAAGTAAACTGTAAATCAGATTCATAAAGACATAAATCGAAAGTTAGGACTGTAACTACGGTTCTATGAATCCCGGATGACCGCCAGAGGCGGTGCTTAAAGCACGAATGATCACTCTTGCGCATGCACAGGTCGAGAATCTTATACCAACATAGTCACGTGTGCAAGGGCGTAGGAATATGTTTACAATTGGGGGGACACATGTCGGAAATCTGAGATTCGTAAATATTCAACAGAAACATATCTTAAGTACGCTACTTAAAAAAAGGCTATTTAATCTTTTACTTTATTCCTTTATAAATGTGTCTTGCAAAAATAATGCATTTAAAATGTACATAATGCATTTGTTCATAAAATGTGTGCATATCACCAAACAAAATGACTGGAGTCTTTTATAAAGCAAAGGGAGATGTCTTTCAAGGGCTTCAGCCCTTGGCATATTTAGTGTCTGCATCACACTAGAAAATCTAATATTTCAGTTGGATTAAAAACAGTTCAGTAGGCCACAGAAGTGCAAAGTTTGATATGTTTTATTTTGTCAAACTTGCAATAATGGTCAAAAATGAATTTATATAGGTTGACTGACAGAGGGAGCTGACAGTGTGTTGAAGAATTATGGACAGGGTGCTTTGAAGCATCTGGTTCAAAAACGCATTCTAAACCTTTGGTAGAAATCCATCCATCCTTCCATTTTCTGTACACCCCGTCCCTTAGTGAGGTCGGGAGGTGCTGGTGCGGGGTACACCCTAGACAGGTCGCCAGTCTGTCCAGACCTTTGGTAGAAATGGCGCCTTTAATTCCAATTTGCAGTACAGAACAGAGAAAACTACAGAGTTGTCAATGTTGTGTTAATCTGTTTATAGTCTAAAAAGAGGAGCCAGCTGTTGATTTGAGGAAATAAAGGTGCAGAAGTTAATTAGTTGGTTAATTAGTGGTTGCACAACCAATGCGACCGCCGCTGCTAAGAATTAAAATTAATTCTCCCTGTGGTTTTAACTAACGATCAGGAGCACGGCAGGCATAACATCTGTCCATTTTGGGGAATCAAAACCACGCAAAAAATAAAAAATCCTCGTAAAACGCACGCCCAGACCGGGCTAATTTCAACACAAGTTGTGTTAGGTGACTGTTACTCACACTGACGTTTTTCTTTTTAAAAAAGCTGAGTAAATCCTGCTGCTGTTTCAGCCTTTTAGTTGGTGGTGGCATTGTACTGAAATGAGATATATAAAAAAAAAAAATAAATTTTGGCTAGCGTGGCAAACGTCTAGAGAAAGTTAGCAGTTAAATATTGGATGAGTGATCAGCCCAAGACTATGGAAGAGGATAGGGCCATTGAAAAAAAAAAAAAGTTAAGTGATTTTTAAATTTTATTTCAGTTTAATACGGAAAAAAAGTCAGAATTCTGACTTTTTTTTCTCAGAATTTTGGATCTTAATGTAGATGGGCACCATGAGGGAAGAGATGTGGAGCACTCAGCTTCACTGACAAAGATGTGAGTTGTTTGAGGTGGCCAGTGACACATTGGTGGAAAATTACAGAATTAGGAAACTTTTTACGTGCCCGAGGGGTCTCCTCATTAATGGAGGAGCAGAAGGTCATTAAAACAAGAGAGCTAGTCTCTAAAACAGACATGGCTATGGCTTGATGCTAACATTTTGTTATATTACATTTGTGTTGTGTTTTCCAAATAGTGTAGAAAATGAATGGTGGGTTTATAATGTTTACCTTTTATGAGCAGGACAGTAAGCAGAGAAGTGTAGCATTACCTCCAACTAGTTAAACTCATAATTATGAAGTTATTCAACAAATTCCTCAAGTAAAAAAGTGCAACTTTTATTTTTTATTTATTTTTTTACCAGATTTGTTGATTAATTTTAAAATTATGTATTCCTTCCAAATTTCCAAATCTGAAGAATTTTTTAAACCAATATCTACATTATTTAACATTTAGTTTGTTTTAGCAGTACTTCCTGTTATATTTCTTTAAACTTATATTTTACATTTTCTTGCACAAGTAGTCAATCTTTAATCTAAACATATATTCTGGTTATCTTTTAGTTAGACCTTCTTGTTTTTATATATCTGTATAGTACCCCCCCCCCCCCCCCCAAAAAAAAACAAAAACAAAAAAACACTGTAAATTGATTAGAAATATTAATTATCTGTCAGATTTCTGAGAAAAAAGTCAGAAGAAAAAAGTCAGAATTCTGAGATTAAAGTCAGAATTCTGACTTTTTTACCCATGTTAAACTAAAAAAATCAGTTAACCTTTTTTTTTTCAGTGGCCCTAATCCTCTTCAGTACAAGACTAAGATGACTAAACCAAAAAGATTCAGTTTCTATATATAAAAGTGAACTGACAAGACATTATAAATGGGCAATATTCATAGCAGCATTCCCGACAGACCATTTTACCTCATTCACAAGTTTCTGACTTCTGTGTCGCCGTTTCCCTTCCTTTTGAGTGCTCAAACACTCAGCAGTTCAGAGAGGGGAGGGGGAGTACAGAGACATAACGCTATGCTGCGCCTTCAAAATAAAAGCACGCTAGTTAAAAAAAATGTCAAAATCTAATATTTTGCGGTACAATTTTTTGGGGGGGACATATCCACTTGGCTTTTATATTGGGGGGACATGTCCCCCCCGTCCCCCCCCCCCCTTCCTACGCCGCTGCACGTGTGACCCCCGGTGACACCGGTGTGCCCATACAGTCACGTGACAGCGACAGCTCATTCCCTTAATCTTCTCGCAAAAACACGATGATTCCGAGGGACCGTGCGCTCTGGCGGTCATCCGGGATTCATAGACCAGTCATAGCGGTCCATGACACACTGACAACCCTGGTGGAATGGCACCGTACACCAGCGGGGGGTTGGATGCCCCGCTGAATGTACGCCTGTTTCACTACATCCACAATCCAACGCGCAAGGCGCTGTTTAGAAAGGGCCTGCCCCTTGCGGGGCCCCGCGTAGCAAACAAACAGATTATCCGACTGACGGAGAGAAGCTGTGAGACTGACATATGCCTTCAGTGCCCGAACAGGGCAGAGAAGCTCATCAGGCCCATCTGTATCAAGGCGAGCAAGCTGGAGTGGCACAGTGTGGCTCATGGATGAAGCCACTTTAGGAAAAAACGCTCGTGAACAGACAGTGCA